TGTGAAATGAAGTTATAAATTTTATATGCTATATAACTAGGCGAAACAGTCACACATGATGTTTTCAGAAAGATAAAATGACTAAAAAAGACAATTTCACCGAGCAACTATCTAGTTTAACAAAATACTCGCATTGCTTTCTCTTTTTGTCTTTATTCCTGATTATATTCCCAAAAAAGAAGCTGTCGTTTTGCCGCTGAGGGAAAATAGATTTCACGAAAAAGCCAACCTCATTCCGATACCGAGGTTGTTGATTAAAGCCGACACTAGCTTCCTGTAGGTCTTCATTATTTTTCTCATTAGTACAGAGCCGCCTGGTGCGATTAAAGATGATGGGGACCCTTAGGCCGTGTGCACAATGTACTTGTTATATTTTTGCGAGTGGATGTTTTGTTAAGAAGGAATTACTAAGACGATTTAGGTATATAAAATAATTTAACATATACTAACTGACATTTATTTAACACTGAGCTATATAACACGCAGACTATACAATTAACAAATCACCACTATACCAGAAATACCTATCACAATTCATTATGCCCTCGTATTCTGTTCGAGATGTTTTAGTATGTGCTCCGGTAGGGGATAGGAGGAATTTGAGCCGATACCGCATTGTTCAAAAGACATAAGGCCGATAAAGTAGACGGGCCCGTCTATCACTGTATTGCATTTAATTAGTAATGGGTGATTGATGATTGGGTTGTGTGTTTGGGTGATGATTTATCACTGAGTACGATAATACAAAACAGTATTAGGATTTTGATTACTTAATTTATGTTAGTTTTCAACAGCAACGTTTTAAATTAATCATAAAGTAATATATAACTTAACGTAACAAACGAAATAAAAAAACAAAATAGATTTGTTCTTTGTGTACGAATCTTAAGCATTGAAACTCGGCCTAATTCCTCCTTCTTGTTAAGAGCTACCTGGTGGATAGATTAAGCTCTTACTCGTGTTATAATCTTCGGATCATGTTTATAGGGATTGTGAAAGGGGTTGTTATTTATTACGTAATGTCTCTAAGTGTTTCATAACAATAAATTTTACTCGTCTGTACAGTTTGTTTCATTCGTATACATTGGACGAGATTACTTTTACCTTCGATATGATAAAAAGTGTGTATGTATTTATGTACACACGTAAGAGCTTACACTATTCTTTAGCGTAACAAAAGTAAAATAAAAAAAACAATCCCCTCCATCAGTACTCCTTGTGAAGACATTAAATGCAGAAGAAGAACTTATAAGACAGCTGATGTCGGTGTGATTTTAGGATAAAGTTATTACTTTTCAATCTTGGGTCATTTTAATTCGAGTAAAGAATACAAACTCTGATTTCAATAATAACTAAAATTCGGTCGCTGTCTAAAATATTATTATCGTTTCCATTCCAATTAATAAATGACCATCAAAACACCAATTACGGAACCTAAACTTAAAGTTGATATACTACTTACATCATTTACAATATTATATTGAAGAGCTGCCGCGTTTACACCTAACTACCAAGACACTAAAAGGCATTCAATGTCATTCGCCAATCACACAATTGATAGCAATTTTTGGTGCTGATTCACCCGTGAACAAATGATCAGTGAGAAATTAATTATTAGAAGTTTTATTTTGCCTCTTAACGAACATTCGTTAAGAGGCAAAATAAAACAACAACAGTCAGGATGCCCTTACTTGTACTCTTATTACACCGCTAGGCAATTTTCGATATTGGAATTGTTATTTGCAAGTCTCGTTCTCTTTTCAAATTTCAAAATTCGACGAAAACCTGTCAGCTTTCAACCTCGTGACTTAGACATGACACTCATAAAATCGGATGGTGGTCCATAGTAATTATTACCTTATAACTAAGTAATTAGATAATAAAGTAAAAATTAATATGGACAACAAGTAAACTGTTATTTTGTTTCTTTAGAAAGTCTTACTTATAGTTGCACGGTTGCAACTGTAAGTAAAACATCTGCAGTTTATTATTCCTAAAATTCCAACAATTCAGACGATCAGATGCCTTGAAAAGTAATGTACTGAGCAAGTTGTCCGAGCGTCTATTTCTCACATGGTCTATCACAGTAAGATCGCGTGGGAGAGTAAGTTGCCCCAACAGGAACATATACATCTCACCAATAGGAACCTCTATTCGTTATGGGGGCCAAACTACAACTTAAGAGAAGAATATTGGGCCCTCTCCTAGGAGGCATATTTTTAATTTACATATTTTTACTTATATTTTATAAACAACTAGCGACCCGCCCCGGCTTCGCACGGTTGGAAAGTATTATACATATAAACCTTCCTCTTGAATCACTCTTTCTTATAAAAAAAACACATCAAGATCCGTAGCGTAGTTTTAAAGTCTAAGCATACATAGGGACAGACAAACAGTATTACGACTTTGTTTTATACTATGTAGTGATATTATCCCTTTGTTCAAATAAGATAATCCTTAGAAACACAAATTAGACAAGTGCAAACATCCAAACCCAAATACCCTAAGCGGTATTGATTTTACAGAGTAGTCTCGAGCGGGTATAGATACTTAAAACGCACTGAGGTGAACTGCATACTGTCTTTTTACATTTTTCGTATCATCATTAGTTGAAATACAGTTCATTTGCAGAATTTCAACATTTGAACAAATTTTCGTTTGTATGGTGAACATTATAAATAGTTGAGAGGACTTCTCGCAACGTCCAAGATCGAGGAGATCCTAGAGAATTTAGTCGTTGCTGATTCATGCATCTACGTTGGATAACGTAAAAACTATGAAACTGACAGTCCTGTCTTGGGCAGTAATTATGTTTAGTAGGAACTGCGCTTTATAAAACGTTAGATGTTGTACGGGATGGGCCGGCAGGAAATCCTATGCTCTACCCCGCCCATATCCACCCTACTGACTGATGATACACACCTTGTTTTAGAAGCCAACATGTCTTTCTGTTTTAATGTAAACTGCACGTAACGATGAGACATGAGACATAACATCATAGCTTCTTGAAAAAATAAGTACTTTCCTTAGTTTTAATAAAATACAAAGCAAAAATGGAATAATTTTCTTCTTTCGATTGGAAATTACCAGACCGCTCGATTATTATTGCTTTACGTGTGTTATGAAACAAGAAATAATTCACACACAGATTGTAACGAAATAAAAACAATTAAAACTAAATTTTGATAACTCTATTTATAACAAATTAACACAGGGAATGTTATCTATTTTTATTTAATATCACACTATCGCTAGTGACTACTTCATCCGAATAACGGATGTGCGATTCATACATACCGAGTTGTGATCGGTATGTAGTGAGCTAGTGACACCAGATTTATAAAAAATACTTTCGGGACAAGTTTTTGTGGCTAGAGTAAAATAGAGGTGGCCTAGCAGAAGAATACGTGGACTCGCGATTTGTTGTCCAGGTTTCGAATCGATTTCCACTTATTACATGAAGCCTGTAAACTATTTTTGTATAAGTAACTTGTTTTTTAAAACCAGCTCGTGAAACAGTTCTCAGATTTTCATGTATGAATATTTTAATATGCCAGCATTCTAGCTTTTAGAATTGTCGAATCCGTTATCGTTAGTTGAAAAATTTATAGTTTATAATTTATGATTTTCTCCTTGTACATTTGTTTTAAACTGAAAAACAGTTAGGTCCTTGGCTTATTTATCCCTAATCTATAAAAAAATTAAATGGTGTATGCAAATGGTGTATGCGGTTCTAATTGCAGCAGATTGTAGAGATTTTCAACTTAAACCAGTATAAAATTTGTAAACAAGTGAAAAAATGTCATACTTTTTTAGGTGAGAAAGTGGAAAACGAGCAGGTGGTTCACCTGATGTTAAGGGATAAACGCCGCCCATGGACATTTGCAAGACCCGTAGGGTTGCAAATGCGTTGCCACCTTTAAATAAAGTGGGCCCCGGCTACCTCACTCACCAGACGATACGCTGAAGTGTAACACTTCCACTTCAGGCCGGTCGTCTGTGAGGGCGTGGTACTTACCCGGACGGACTTGCCCAATCTAGCAACAGCGAACACTGTTTCGTGAACCTACACTGTGAATAACACTTATAATATTATCACTTTTGGGTAAAGGCCTCTTCTGTACAGAGGGTATTAGGGTGTTGTCCACCACACGACCACACTGTGCATTGGCAGCTTTCACATTTATCTTTGAAACATTTTTTGTTGTTGTTTAAAAAAAAAAGTTGGTTTCCTTATTTAAAATTTCAATTAACAATTTCATTGGTGCTGGCACTTGAATTTGAACTCAGGTTCCTTGAGTATACTAAATTAACATCTCACACAGTGCTGTCACTAATCTATAAAATAAAGTAACAGTCTATATTTATGTACTACTGCTGGGGAAAGGCCTCCTCTGTACAGAGGGTATCAGGGCATAGTCCACCACGCAGCCCCACTGCGGATTGGCGGACTTCACATATTTTTGAAATATTATTTTTTGTTATTATTTCGAAAATATGTAGGTTTCCTCACGATGTTTTCCTTCACCATTGAGCACGTGATAAGTCGGCACTTAAAATTAACATTTTCGTTGGTGCCGACACCGGGAATCGAACTCAGGTTGATCGAGTATATTGAATTAAAGGCGAGCGCCCGGACACTGAGCTATAACGGCTGGATTCGACGAATATATATTATGGAATATTATATATTATATTTGATATTATATATTATATTATGGAATAATATATATTATGGAATAATATATATTATGGAAAATATATCATAGAAAATTAAAAATATTAAAAATATTTTTATTTGCAGAAACGGAAGAATGGACACTGTATTTTATAATATGTTCATATTATTTGCAACAGATTTAATGTGTCATTTGCCATCTACTCTACATGTTACGGAATTGAAACTGTGGAAGTGTTCCTTTTAAAATGTTCAAGTATACGTTTGTTTTAATTTTATTTCTGTTATCTTTTCTTTTTGTGCGGTTGAACTGCCAATTATGTACCAAAAAAGTGATGTGAGTACAGTTTTGAATATTTAAATTTTCTGACAAAATATACATTAGGTAAATTTTGAGCGATGAATCATTGAAAGTAAGTTTATAATTTATTGATATAATGACTGCACACAATGGATTATACTATCTTTGTATATATAATTCTTCTGTCCGTGTGTAAGCCACTGAACTCCTCCTAAATGGCTGAACCGATTTTGATGAAATTTTTTGTGTTCAATTCGAGAATGGTTTTAGATTCACAACTTTTTTTTAATTTTTTTAAGTTATCGGACTTAAGGCGTGTGTTCAGGACAAGGTCTGCCCGGTCCGCTAGTATGACATTAAATTCAACAAAAAGCAGAAGCCTACAGTAACACTTACACTTACTTGACTGATAAAGTAATATATTTTACAAAAAAAAATATGATGGCTGTGGGCGAGGTAAACACAAGTCCATCTTTGCCGGTAATACTCTGCGTGGCGGTTAACTCTTATCTCCTGCATAGGTTTCTTTTCACGCTTCTTCCAAATAAAACCGGCCAAGTGCGAGTCGAAATCGCTCCCGAAGGGTTCTGTACAATCCATACTAATGTTATAAATGCGAAAGTACCTCTGTCTGTATGTCTGTCTCGCTTTCACTCAAAAACTACTGAACCGATTTAAATGAAATTTGGTACACTTATAGTCTAGAGCCTGAGAAAGGACATATGCTCTTTTTTAATTGGAAAAAAGTATTCCACAGGGTTGAAAGATATTTATTTAAGGGCTGCAACGCGAGCGAAGTCACGGGCGAAAAGCTAGTTATCTATATAAAGGGGGAAAAATCTTGTCTGTTTTATGGGAGCTCCGCTAATTTTTTTTTATTCTGTTTTTTAGAATTTGTTGTTATAGCGGCAACAGATATACATCATCTGTGAAAATTTCAACTGTCTAACTGTTACGGTTCTTGAGATACTGCCTGGTGACAGACAGACAGACAGACAGCGGAGTCCAGTCATAGGGTCTCGCTTTACCCTCTGGGTACGGAACCCTAAAATTATCTGTACACCAAGTGTAGTTGATTAAGTAAGACTATAAGAATTAAATTCCTAATTTCCAGAGTAACGCGATGGCAACAAGAGTCGTATCGACATACGTACAAGGAAACTTATCTCGGCCAGTGTTGGTATCGTTGTGTCAAATCCAGAATTTCAGTTTTAGTGGACCACCGATTAGTGCCAGTAAGTCCCAACTTTATCTTTATTTAATTAACCGTATTGTATTCAAAATGTTTTTTTTTTTACTTCTTTTGTCATAAGTAAACTTTTCAATAGCATTTATTAGACTGTCACTCAGCACCCATTTCCATATTTATCGAAAGGCCCCATATTTTGTTAACGGATATTTCCAAAACTCAATTTTTTTTATGCATAGTATTTTTTAGCTGATATGATAGAGAAAAAAGGTTTACTATCAATCGTCAAAGAAATGCTGATATTATTTTCAATAAGCTCTTATAGTTTGTTTTTTTTTACATTTGTTTATCGCAATATTAAAAAATAAATAAGTCTAAAGTGAAGACAATGGAAAGCATAGCAACTTAATTCGGGTTTTTGAGAGCTTATTTCCTGTTCAGTTTGAAATTTTAATTTAATGATCAAATTAATTTAGACACTTTGCTCTGCAGAAAAGAATGGTAGAAGTTCGACATATTTGCTGCAGTGGATATATTGACGTCAGTAATAATTCAGAAAGGTTGGTCAATTTAACCGTTAAATTATTTTAAACAATGATTTATTCTGTCAATAGTGTATACGCATAATTTTCTAATTAATTTTCTTTTTTTTAATGTTTCAGAATAAACTGTAAGCCCATCTGCATGCCAGCCTGCAAAAATGGTTACTGTTCATCGCCTGGAATGTGTGTCTGTGACAATGGATACGTCTTTGATGAAGACAGTAATCACAGTTGCAAGGCAGTGTGCTCAAATGGTTGTCCCCATGGTAACTGCGTGTCTCCGAATACTTGTGAATGCGACCATGGTTATGAAAAAGTCGAGGATGAATGTCAACCGATATGCACGGAACCTTGCAGAAATGGCATTTGTGTAGCGCCTGATATATGCCAGTGTCTGCCAGGCTATAGACCGACGGAATATGATACATGTGAACCTTATTGCTTTAGCGGATGCCCAAACGGTCATTGCATAAGACCCGATACCTGCAGTTGTAACAGCGGTTGGTTGAAAAGTGAAGAAAATAATACTTGTGTTCCGGACTGTTCCAGACCTTGTGGGAATGGCACTTGTGTCGCCCCCGATACCTGTGAATGTTTCACTGGATACGAGGTTGACGCGAGCCAAAATATAACATCAAACGCAACAACTTGCGTGCCAAGTTGCGGTAATTGTATAAATGGATCGTGTACAGCACCAAATGAATGTACTTGTGAACTTCCCTTAATACCTAAACTTTTATCAAAAAACGACGGTGATTGCGATTGTACAAACGAATGTTCAAATTCCTCAATCAAATGTGAGAAAACTATATGTCTTCCAGAAGAATTTATTACGACGACATACCCCACTTCTGTTATACCGAAACTGTTATCTGAATCATACGAGCCGAGTACTTACTCTGAATCTACGACTGAATTGGCTATAGGGACTTTTTCAATCAATGATATTGATGTATCAACACAAAAGATTTACATATCTACAAATACATACAAGAGTAACACTGAGGCGTCATTTGAGCCAGTTACATATTTAAACGAGTTAGGAACAAATTATGACGAAACCAAGAATGAAAGTGACTCAAACAAATCAAATTTGGGTTTAACTGTAAAAAAAGTTGATAGGTAAGTGTTTAAGTTAATGATAGTTAATGTGAACGCGTCAACAAAGTTTTCGATAAAGTAACAGAGTAATATTGCTGCTATAATTATGTATGGTACAGCTCGAGCGAGGAACACAAACGTTTCACCGAAGATCGGCGTAAAGCATACGTATTAATCCTTTCGACTTCCCTCTTACAAGTTGAAAACACCAAACAAATAGCTGTTGTTACGCCCAATTAATAATTAAATAACTTTAATTTTGAATATGCTTCTATTTCAGAACGAGACTTTGGGTTTATGCAGCTATAACGTCGTTAATTTTGATCACATTGTTATTGATAATTATCGTAACTAAAAGGAAATCAATTACAAGGTGGCTGAAAGGAGGTAGTTACGTAGTGCAAGGTACGATTTACTAACATTGATAAAAAAAAACTACATGATAAGGAATTATGAATGGTACGACAATCAAAAATATAATAGAGTTGTTTATTTTCATATTATTTGCCAAATGTAAACAATGAAAATGCAAAATAAGACAAGTCTAATTATTTAAATTTGATACGATCCCCGTCTCCACACTTTTATCCAAGTTAGAAAAAATGGGTATCAGAGGACTGCAACACGATTTCTTCCAAAGTTATCTCACGGACCGGAAGCAAATAGTAAAATTAGGTGACTGCATCGGTGATGAGCTTCCAGTATCTTAAGGTGTACCGCAAGGAAGTATTCTCGGTCCAACTTTGTTTCTTGTATTTATAAATGACTTATGCAATTTAAAAATTAATAGTGCAAAAATAATCACCTTTGCAGATGACACAGTGATTACTTTCTATGCCGAATCCTGGTCAGCCCTTCAGAGGAAATCGCAACTCGGTTTTAATACTCTGCATAACTGGCTCTTATCTCATACTCTTACCCTTAATACTTCGAAAACTAAATTTATACCATTTTCTATTAGTTCTTCCTCGCAACCCAAAATTCCTATTGTTATAAAAGTTCACTCTTGTTCTCGCCAAGTATGTCCTTGTCAATGCCCACAAATTTCTCCCAGTGAGAACTTAAAGTACCACGGCAAAATAATAGACAGATATCTTAACTTTAAAACACACATCAATCTTCTTACATCCAGACTTCGCAAAACGATATATATATTTAAACCTCTACGACATGTTGCAAATCCTTTAATTGTTCGTAATGTATATTATGCGCTATGTCAGTCTATTATTTCTTATTGTATTTCATGCTGGGGTGGAGCAGCTAAGTCAAATTTAAGGCCACTTGATTGCTCAAAAAGCTATATTAAAAGTTTCCTCCTTCAAACCAATCTTATATCCATCTGTCCAGTTATATAAAGATTGTGGTGTTCTAACTGTCAGGCAACTCTTCATTCTTGACACAATACTACTGCAACATCGTAAGACTCCTTTCATGAAAACAACAAAACGTCGTAAAGATAAGATTTGCTCTATCCCAAAAGTAAATTTCTCTTTTACAAACAGATTTTTCTACTACCTTGGACCTTTCCTATATAATAAAATTAACGCAAATATTCTGGTACATAACCTTTCTTACTATAACTGCAAAGTTGTTACTCGCTCTTTTCTTTTAACATATCATGACACCGAATAATTTTTAACGCACGCACGCACGCACGCACGCACGCACGCACGCACGCACGCACGCACGCACACACACACACACACACACACACACACACACACACACACACACACACACACACACACACACACACACACACACACACACACACACACACACACACACACACACAAACACACAGACACACTTACTTTGCGGTTCCGCATCTGGTTTAGACACAATTTTGTATTGCAAAAGCAGGGCTAAACGGGCTATACTGATATACTATGGCTTGGGTCCTCGTGAGTCAGTGCGGCATCTTTTTAATCAATAAGTCGCTGTACATACCACATCGCGACAGGGCCGTGGTGACACCTTGGACACCTTTTTGGTAGACGTATTAACTTTTAGAATAAAATAGGAAATCTACTAACAACTAAGTGTAAACAATTTCAAACATTTTGTACTAGCAAGGGCATATTATAAAGTCGAAGAATACATTGAGGACTAGTATGTGGTAAAAGCTTAAATTAAGCCTAGATCCGGGCGCTCACATTTAATTCAATATATTCGAACAACCTGGCTTCATATCCTGGCTGGTTGCAGCACCAATGCAATTGTCAATTCTGAAAGTAAATTGTGAACGTGTTCAGCGATGAAGGAGATCATTGTGACGAAACCTGCATGTTTTAAAAATAATAATGAAAAAATCGAAGATATGTATATAAGTAATCGAAGATATGTATATGTCTGCCAATTCGCAAAGGGACCGCGTAGTAGACTATGGCCTAATACCCTGTACTGAGGAGGTCTTTGCCCAGCGTTGACTTGTATACGCTTTTACTTTACTTTAAATAGATCTAAGGCCCTTTCTGCGCTACTTACTTAACAGCAAAATATTAATAAAGTATACAAAACTTTTCAGATGGTGGAGGCCTTACGGAAATTTCTCTGCCAATTCAAGCTGTGGATATGAGCTACCAAAGTATTATGGAAAAAAAGAACCACGAGCATAAGTCACCAAAGCATTCGTAAACAAACTTTTTTTATATCATCAAAATTGTCATACCATAACTAAATACTGTTATGAGCAGAATTGAAATTAAAATATAAACAAAACTTTGTACCTTAATAACTTATAACAAATAGTAATAGTGTTTTTCCTGACAATCTTTTAAATGCAAGAAAATGAAGTAAATCGACATTCATAGCACATTTAACATTTTATATGATATTGAAATTAATAGATTTACATTTAAATCTCAATGACAAAATGGGTGTTATGAAGCTACGTGAATGAAAGTTGACTTATACCTACATGACCGCGCAAAACGAATTTTTTGACAAGCCATGACTTTTTTATATTAACAGCATCTAGACTAATATTCAGGTTACTGTAATACTACAAAAATATACCAAATTTATACGTTTTGTTTTATTTATTCTGCTTAAGTAGAATATAAACCAAATAAAATAAAACTTCCGCCCACGACAAAGTATTTAGACAAACTCATTTAATTCCATAACTCTCCCACTACCATTCCCATTCTACATCGAATGGTGAGATTGAGATGTGTTAAAATTATTTTACTATCTGTTAAAAAGGAACAATTGCCCATTTGTATTTAATTTTGTCATTATTCATGCATTAGTTAGAAACAATAGTGAGAATAGAATATTTATAACATCAGAGGCATCACCTGCCTACTCCGGGGAGACAAGAGATTTGTTTGTCCCAAAAGTGTCAAAGCGTATCGTTGGAAATTCTGATTCAAATGTGACCCGCGCGAAACTTCTCGGCTACGTCATGTGTCTCGTGGAAACTTTAATAAGCATTGCGGGATCAATTTGGCTTTTGTACTTTGTTATCTTCGCTTGGAAGTTGATAATGTACCAAAACTTGTAACCTCTTCTTGTGAAACTAATACAGTTTTAAACTGGTAGACGATTTTTTCAGTATTATGCATTTTCGTAAGTTATTATTCTAGTGTTGATCTTTGTGAAATATCCTTGAACAGGAAAAACATTTGATTATAAACATTATAATGTAATTAATGTTTTGTAATTTTATGGAAGTTGTTATTGAATATGTTTTGTTTCGTAAACTCAATATACTTTTTTTATATTTATTTCCGTGAATCACATTAAAATTAACATGTAACATTTGAAATTAGTAGATAATGCATATTAAATTAATATTATTTTTCTACAAACCTTGATAAGATTTCAAAATATTTAGTTTTATGTACATAGTCTAACAAGTCCAATCAACAGAAATTTGATACTCATAACACGATAAGATTAGACTAACATAATAACTCAGTGATATTTCTGTACATATTATTTGGATATTAGCTTGTTTGCACCAGTAATATAGAAGTGTTTTAGACTTCTGCGTTTTGTCTGGCGAGTTAGATTCCATTTAATAAAAAGGTGGCAACCATCAGCACCTCCATGGGTGTTGCATGAAACCTTAAGCTAAAGGCTACAATGGGCGGACTTAATGCCTAATGGCATTCTCTACCAGTCAACCCTTGTCATGGTGAAAAGTAGATGGTAGGTGCAAAATGAAACTATAAAAATTTAAGTTAACAAATGTGCCATAAAATGTAACATATATGTACATAAATAAATATATAGATACATACATATAAATACATATATATATATATATATATATATATATATGTATATATACATAAAATAAATACATATACGGATAATAAAAACACAAATGGACTAAGTGATACAAAGTCAATGATTTAACAAGTATTGTCGAATTGATTTTTTGAACATATACTTATTTGGAGCTGTTTTGATCTTATAGGGAAGGGCGTTCCAGAGGAGTGTAGCTTGAACGGTAAAAGAGGAGTTAAAGTATCCTGTATTATGTTGAGGAATGTGAATCTTAAGTTGGTTGATGGAACGAGATACTCTGTCAGGGTCAGGTAATGGAAGGTATCCTTAAGGTAAGAAGGAGAATTAGGATTAAATAATACAGAATACAATGTTAATAGAATTCTAGAGCTGCGCCTCTGTCGAATGGAAAGCCAGTTAAGCTTGCGACGGTAGGAAGATACATGGTCATATCTGCGTAGACCGAAAATAAATCTAATGCAGCTATTGAGAAGGCGCTACAATTTTTCTAGACGAGATTGGAATAGGTCCGGATAACACACATCAGCATAGTCGATAATGGGCAAAATTAGTGACTGGACAAGCAGAAGCTTAGTTTTAAAGGGTAGGAAATTTTTCAAACGGTAGGAGAACGTAAGGTACCAATAACTTTCCGGCTGACTTCGGCAATCTGCGTTTCCCAACTAAATGACTGGTCCAAATGCAAGCCAAGATTTTTGACCGAGTAAGAAAACGGAATTAAGGATCCATTATAAGAAATTGGGAGAAGGCTGCCATAATGAATCCTGGCAAGCATCCTTGGACCACCAATTATAATTACTTAATATCAGGTGAACCACCAGCTCATTTGCCACTTTCTCACATAAAAAAATCTTTGTATTTTCGGCCAAACATTTTCGTTATATAGTTTCTACTTTGCATAGAATTACATTCCGTTTGAAAGAAAACATGAGGACTTCCATACAGGGTGATTTTTTAGACGAAGTACATACTTTGACATAATATTAATTGAGCATTCCATAATTAAATAAAAAATATTGACACTTTATTTTGTCAAGAAATAACCAGAAAAATATCACTTCAAACATTGTTTATCCCGTTCAGAGTGGTCACTCTATTGATAAGCGGTTTAGTAATTATGCGTTACTAGCTGCTGCCCGCGACTACGTCCTCGTAGAATAGGCTGAAGGCGTAACATTCAGACAGCAATACAGATATATATAAAGATATGTATATAAGTTATAGCCTATGTATTATTCTGATGTATAAGCTAAATTATTGTAGTTTCATTAGAATCCATTCAGTAGTATTTGCGTGAAAGAGTAACAAACATCCATCTATACATAAAAACTTTTGCGTTTATAATATGAGTAAGGATTGTATTGAGACGGTAAGGCAGGAATTTCTCAAAGGGTTTTTTTTATGGAGAAAAGGGGCAAACGAGCAGGAGGTCACCGTCGCCCATGAACACCTGCAACACCCGAGGGCTCACAAATGCGTTGCCGTGCCGGGTGTCTATAATGTTTAAAAAAAATTAAATCATCTTTGAAAAAAAAAATGAGGTCACAATTAGGTACGTACCAGATTCAGATTTAGAACAAAATTCTGCGTATGCTCTGTTAATATCTCCGTCGTCTGTAAAATCACCCTGTTTATCATTAATTCAGCCCAATAATTTGTATAAGATAAAAAAAGGTATTGTAAAAGTATTGTAGAAGTAGAGTATCCAGTAATTGGCACCGATACTAGGTGAAGTTTTAAAATAATTTAAACACGTTGTTGATATAAAAGTGTGTGAGTTAAGATTACACATTTCAAGAGATGTAAAATTGATGTTTGGTGTTTACTTGTGACTTTGTGACTTAATAAATTTCTGAAATAAAATAATTGAATGTAACTACTACGGAAATTTATATAAAATTAATTGAAACAGTATGCACACAGAATAGTTTACGTTTAAAGTACCGTAATAAATTAAAGGCGATGTGTGGTGCACCGTTGCAAACTAAATTTCAGAGCTTCGATAGTTTCTCAGCAAATTTACCATAAATAACAATGGAGCTTAACCAAAATTACTCTCTAGACAGAATAACTTTTTACCACATAGCTTATTAGTTAGAGCAAATTAATATTGTCCATATCTTAAAGGTGGAGCTATATTCTAGTTCTTAGGACGTTTCATCAAGTACTTACAGAGTCATAACGTTTTTACTTTCTTCTTTTTATTTTACATTCTCTTGGCAAGTTATGAAAGTATTTTATTATTTCATTTAGAAAATATAAATATTTTTAATAAACTGCTCAAAGATGTTAAAAATGATCAGAACCATAGAACTGTTACAAATTATAACGTGCGTTCAAGACTTTCCGATGTCGCTTACGTTCGACATTTACATTAGTTTAATTTTTTTATTTAACTAAAAAATCAATACATGCTTTGATATTTAATTTTTTATAGTGCTAATCTCTGCACTTGATGAATGTTCTACAAATTTTAACACGCTTTGATCTGAGATTGATTGTCATTTATTAGGGAAATATGACAAAAAAATGTGACCTTCCTCTACCCCTACTACTACCCTTAGAAATTTTCCGATGACCCCACGATCCAACAAACGAATAAATTCCGGGCCAAATCTTGTTAGAAATAGCGTACGTTCTGAAACCGACACACGCACACAATCTCAGAAGTTAAGACTTAAGGAATTGATGACATCGCTGCCGTAGTAAATCGACCTTGGTAACAAAGAGCAAATCCTTTTTACGAGATTTACTGACGGCGTACGGGATGCTGTTTTCCTTCTTTATTCTCCAATTTTATATAAAGATAATGCTAGATGTCGAGTAAGTTTGAACCCCTGTGTTATTTTATCACTTTTTATTTAAAAAGTAGCAGTTTGCGTTAGTGTTAACCTTTTTCTATAATATTTATCCATATATATCAATGTCCATAAACGCGACGTTCAAAAGTGCCTCATCACCATAAGACATAGGAGGGGAATATTGAAAAATTTAAAAACGCAAAATACTTGAAACATTTTATCCATACCCACAAAACTGTGTGATTTATGTAGACTGTACCCATTGTGCGATTTCGAATCTTTTGTCAATAGTCAAATCATTTTTCCTTTTTATACAATGCCATCATATAAAACGGTATTTTAATTTTCCAGTACCCTTACCGTGAATTATGAGATTCTAAGAATTATACAAATATTAAAGCCCTAATACAGCAAGTTGTTCAATAGGGCGACACAAGTTTAGGACAAGTCAAAACCAAACTTTAAAGTAGGAAGGCAAACTCTGCGCGTCGTATATTAAAATGCATGAGCTTTTCTCTTACTCCATTTCCAATTTGCATAGAAATAGTTTACGGAAGTTCAAAAGTACATACA